CCAATTATAGTGCCAGGACGCGTATCTTCCGAAACGGAGTAGATAAACCTGGCCGGAAAGTCATGAACCTGAAATCAGGTTCGAAAAAATTAGCGCAAAACATTTTACAAAGGCTTAAGGCCCAGGCAGGAATCGATCCAGCGAGCCATCGCACACAAGCCTACAATGCTAACCACTCGGTCATTGGGTACATTCGACTATACTCGATCGTATAGCAGTACTATCAATAGTATTTTAGATGTTTAAGCTTAATTTTATGACAAAATTTGAAAGAAACAAATAAAAATTTCGTTCCTCAAATTTAAAATTTTGAAAATTTTTCGAATTTGGATCAAAAATTTCAAAAAAATTCCAGTCATTTGGGAGAAAATCTTAAATTTAGTCTTAAACTCAGTAAAAATCAAGCTAGTCGCACCTGTTCCTCGTGTTCCACATCGACCAACACCCTCAGCTGGGTGCTTAGCGGGGGCTGTCCACCATCCGTGGCCGTGACNTCAAAGAAATTCCAGTCATTTGTGAGAAAATCTTAAATTTAGTCTTAAACTCAGTAAAAATCAAGCCAGTCGCACCTGTTCCTCGTGTTCCACATCGACCAACACCCTCAGCTGAGTGCTTAGCGGGGGCTGTCCACCATCCGTGGCCGTGACATGGAACTGCAGCTGATCGGTGCCTTCCGGTAAACGCTTCTGATAGCTCAACACGCCGGTTTCCGGATCAATCCAAAAGAATTCGCTATCGGTCTCGTAGCGAATTTGGGCATTCCACCCAGAATCCGCGTCCTCGGCGTCCAATCTGGCCAACTGCCCACCCAGAGGCGTTGTTGGCGCCCAGATTTTGAGCTGCACCGTATTGTGGTGGTGGTTGCTGTGGTCTGCTGTAGCCAAAAATCTCGGCGCGTTATCGTTACGATCCACGATGGTGATTTGGCCAGAGTGTTGCGCGGTTAGGCGGCCATCCGAAGCGGTGACTGTGAATGGGATCGCCGACTGATCAGGCGCCCAGATCAGCAGCTCACGATCAGGTGATTCCGCAAGGGTGATCTCTCCGGAGCGCTCGTCGATTTTTAGCTGCAACTGTTCCGCAGCGGTGGCTGAGCGGCCGTAAGGCTCGGCCAAACGGTAGCGA